ATGTTTGCATGTATAGGAGGATTAGGAGGAACTTAACTGAGGAAGAAGGGGGAGAAGGGGGGAAATGGTGGGGGAAAGGGAGAGAGGCAAACCATGACAGACTCTTGAATGCTGACAAAAACTGAGGACTGATGGATGTAGAGGGGAGGGGGGATGGGCATGGAGGAGGGCACTCATGGATATAAGCACTGGGTGTTATGTGGAAACTAATTTGACAATAAACTATTTGTAAAAAAAATAAATAAAATAAAATAAAATAAAATAAAATAAAATAAAAAAAAATTGGGGGGGGCAAGGTATGTCAAGACCAAGGTACTGTGGAACATGCAAACTAACTGCTTTTCTTTTGTACTATTATAACTTCCATTTTTAATTTTCCCATATATAACATGCAATTGGAAAAATGAAACTATTCTTTCAAATTTTAAGTAAACAAAACAAAACAAAGTAAAAAACCCATAAAGCACTCTGAATACAGGAAGTTTCCAAGCAATATAAAAGCATCCCCAAATTTACTTTCTCCCTGCCCAGCGTAGAAGACGACCACAGAGAAATGCTGGATGCCCTAAAATTCCAATTTAGCTATAAAGATCATCTCACCCCATCAGAGCCTTGCTGGCCTGCAGAGGAACAGAAACCTGGAGTGTCTCCTTGACTACTCCCCACCTTTCACGATGAAAGCACCACTGTACTTGCACATGCTTAAAGGCCTCACTGCTCTTCTCAGATACATGGTCTGCTGCATATCAGATCCATTCTGTGGCCTCTCTTCCAATCCAAGGTAAAGAGGAATGAGGGAATAAGATCAACCTTCCCTTCAGTCCAGAAGATGCTCTCCCCTTTGCAGGGCTGGAACAGCATTTAGGGTTTGGCTGCTCTTAGAAAGGACACTATTAACCTATTACCCTGTCTCCCACATGCAGCAAGACAGGGCCCAGGGCTTCCTGCATTCTGGAGCTGGACCTCTCTGCTAAATTTGCTTTGTTCTATGTTTCTCCCGTGTGTTTTCTCTGGCACTGAATAGATGCATCCTTTTCTCTCCCTAAGATGGTAACAGACAAGACTGGAGTTCGAACTTCCATGTGGAAATAGGCATAGGATAAAAAAAAGAGGCTACATGTGACTTCGAGGTAAACTGGGATTTGAGGCAAAACTCCCTGCTAAGAAAGAGGAGGTTACCTAATCTTGTTTTCCCTTCTGTCATCTACCTTCTCTGAAGGCCAGAGATGCTTATGACCCAGATAATACCATCCTTATACAATCTCAACCTCACTACAACTTCTAGTATCTTTTACCTGATCTGCTTGCCTTCTCTCATATCATATAAGGAAAAGAAGACATCGGTATCTTCCCCAATGGTATTGTAGGTGAAACTCTTCAGGCTGAGGAAGAAGTGATGTGGCACTGGCATCCGACAGGTTTCCCCATGACGTGGGCGCATTGTATCTACCTAATGAGGAAGACAAAAATCAGTGATTCCTATTTTAGTTATTCATGCATTTGTCATAAATAAAATGAAAACTTAGTGACTAGCTTTCCTCATACTACCAAAGGGGATCATTTAAGAGAGACAGAAGATGTTTTCTCTGCTAGTAAGGTAGTGCTGCATCAATATACTTGGTTTGAAGTGGGCAAATATGCAGCTGGGAGAAGTAAACTGAGTGAAGGAGATATAGGGACAGTAATTCCAATTTATGAGTGAACTTAAAATCTCCACAAGGTCACAAATTTCTAAACTCTCCATAAACTTCTAAATTCAAAGTTATTTCTTGGAGACACTGCCACTCTGATAGGCCTGATTTACATTGTTAGATGGTAATAGCTACCATTCTAAATGACACTTCTGTTTTCTCCCAGGTGGATTCATTTTAGTCTCCCAGTCTATTTCAATTGTGCTGAAGTAAATTTGTACAGAGTAAGTGGAGACTGGGCAAATCTGCTTAGAGATCAGGGCCATTTAGATGAAAGGCACCACAAAATCAAGACCTCAGGGGTGGCTATCATTGGCTGGTGCATCCCCATGCTGTGATTTCTTTTTTTTAAATGTTTTATTTATTTCTAGGAGAGAGAGAGAGAGAGAGAGAGAGACAGCGTGAGCAGGGGAGGGTCAGAGAGAGAGGGAGTCACAGACTGAAACAGGCTCCAGGGTCTGAGCTGGCAGTCAGCACAGAGCCCGACGCGGGGCCCGAACCCACGAACCGCGAGATCATGACCTAAGTGAAATTCGGACGCTTAACCGACTAAGCCACCCAGGCGCCCCCCCATGCTGTGATTTCTTAAAAGAAAGCGGTAAGGAAAATATTGGGAGGCCTAGTTAAGCTGCTTACCTGGGATGTGCTTTGCTGTACACTCTGCCGGCTAGATAAGTGCTGTGGAAAGAAAGAAAGAAAAATTCACTCAACTGGGAAAGAAACTTTTATTCAGCACCCTATATGCTGTGCATTCTGTAGTCTTTTGCATATATGTTTTCATTTAATTCTAATAACCTTTTAAGAACAATGCTATTTGTATTCGATGGAGACAACTAAAGCTTGGTGTGAGAAAGTGATGTGCTGAAGATCATGTAGCAAGACGGTGGCAAAGTCTGGATTCAAACCCAAGCCTTTACAGCTCAGAGTACCAGCTAAGTGATGAGAGCATGCTACTAGATTTTTGCTTTGGTGCTGTCTGCTCCACACCCTCTACCACATCCTGAGTTGCAAGATCCAACTTCTGTAGGCTCTTTACACTGGAGGATGTGTAGTCTTTACCCTGAAGTACCCCTCACCCCCAACACTCTGTTCCTTTGCTGCTGGCTGATGTTAGAAGAAGCAGATTCCAATCCCAGCTAAATGTAAATGGGTTGTGAAATCAGATAAATTGCTTACTCTCTCCAAGAGACATTGTCCTCAACTGTAAAACTTAGATAAAAGCTTTTATTGTCTTTCTCTCAGTTACTGTGAGGCTCAAATTACCTAACAGGAAGCAGCATGGCACAGTAGTTAGGGACCTAAGTGCAGAAGTGAGAACACCTGGTTTTAAATCTTGACTCACCTTTGTGTTTGCTCATATAAAAGCGAGGATAACATTTTGTGCTAAACTCAGCCTCATAGGGTTTTATGCAGATTAATCTGGTATGATACCTTTCATATTGTTAAGTGGCTGATCAGTCCTATTTTATCATTATAGGTATTATTCTTAATAAGTAGTTATGTAGAAAAGTCAGTAACATTCAGAAGTAGGAGTAATTGTGTGTTCACAACAATTCAGTCCCTGGTCTTGGTAAACTCAACAATGAGAGTTTCTATCTGCTCTCTTTGGGCCCTAGAAGTGTGAGACAGCACTCATTTGAACTATTTTACATCACATGGGTAGGAAGAATGGTTGCTGAGTAGACTGTTTTCATTTCTTTTATTTGGGGTTAAATGTGTGCATTTGGAAAACTGAATACAATTAAAAATTAATTTAAATGTATTTTACTAGCTATATTTGCTAATTATTAAATATTCATGTATATCATTAGCTATATTCGTAAGTTATTAATTATTAATGTCATTGATGGGACTATATGTTCCCATGATACGTATTTTTAAAAATATAATATATTGTCAAATTGGCTTACATACAACACCCACTGCTCACCCCAACAAGTGCCCTCGTCCTCCATGCCCATCACCCCATTTTCCCTCTCCCCCACGCCCCCATCTACTTTCAGTTTGTTCTCTGTATTTAAGAGTCTCTTGTGGTTTGCTTCCCTCCCTCTCTATTTGTATCTATTTTCCCCCCTCCTTTCCCCCCATGGTCTCTGTTAAGTTTCTCAAGATCCACATATGAGTGAAAACATGTGATATTTGTCCTTCTCTGACTGACTTATTTCACTTAGCATACCTTCCAGTTCCATCCACTCTGCTACAAATGGCATGATTTCATTCTTTTTCATTGCCAAGTAGTATTCCATCATACATATAAACCACATCTTCTTTATCCATTCCCCATGATACATATTAAATATAATAAAATGGGCCTCCAACAGCTGGGGAAATCATCACATAGAATGTATATGTAGAAAAGAAAACACATACAAAAAAAGTTTTTAAAAAATTAGGCTTTCCAGATGCCTGAATGGCTCAGTTGGTTAAGCAACCAACTTTTTCTTTTTTAATGTTTTTATTTATTTCTGAGAGAGAGAGAGACACAGCGTGAGCAGGGGATGGTCAGAGAGAGAGGGAGATACAGAATCTGAAGCAGGCTCCAGGCTCTGAGCTAGTTGTCAGCACAAAGTCTGACACTGGGCTCGAACCCACAAACCATGAGATCATGACCTCAGCTGAAGTTGGACGCTTAACTGATTAAGCCACCCAGGCACCCCTAAGCAATCAACTCTTGATTTCAGCTCGGGTAATGTGCACTGACAGCACAGAGCCTGCTTAGGGTTCTCTCTCTGTCCTTCCCCTGACTTGCCCATGCACACACATTTGTGTTCTCTCTCTCTCAAAATAAAAAACAAAACATTTTTTAAAAATCAGGCTTTCAAAAAAAAAGTTTTCTATGGTTTATTGATCCATATCCCACTGGGAAAGTTATTGGCCAAAATGCTTTCCGTTGTTCTATTTCACATTAAGGGGATATACTAAGTCATTCTTCTCAAGTGGATTTACTGATTAATTCTTAAAAATGATTACCAATCTTAAACACAAATATTCAAAAATAATTATATATATATAGGTGTTTACAGCTAATTTCAGTGTAAAACATTCCTTCTGACAATAACAAATGTTATTCTAGATTTCAGAAGCATCAAATTTAAGGAGAACTCTCAAACCAGTCTAACAAACACTGAGTGGGTGGCCAGGGTTAAGGCATCAAAACTGGCATTCTGGAACCTCTTTCATGGCACTATAGGGAAAAACCACTTCCTCTTCAGGCAGCATTCAGCTGATATATCCCTCTTCAGAACCATCACCACCTGTATTAAGGCTATAATGTATTATTTCTATGTGTTTGCTACTCAACTTTAGACTTTACCCTCCCAAAGAGCAAAAGACTGTACCTTAATCATTTTATATCTGAAATACATCAAAAATAAAAATTAATTAAAACTGCATTTTTGGAAAAAAATATAGCCTAATGCGATAGAGCTTAAAATGTTATTACCTAATCATTCAGCAATTTGTCTCCTGGTTATAAACCTCATAGAATTTCTTGCTGTTAATGTTCCAATCATATTTTCTAATTAATAGTATAATATATTCAAAGACCTTTGTGAGTATATATAAAAATATTTGGCTGGCCAGATGTCTGTCTAGCAAGTCAAATACTAATACTTCCTTTAAATCTGTATGTCTGTTAATACTGGTTACCTATCTTTCCCTAGGAAAACTTTTTCGTTTTATCCAAGTTTTCTAATTTATTACCAGATAATTAAACAAAATATACTCTTAAAATTGCTTTTGTATCCTTTGTGTTTGGAATAAAATTTCCTATTGTTTCTCAGCCTTTTGGCTAAGATCAAGTATGGAATAAATTTTTCTTTCTCATAAAAAGAATGTATGCACTACATTACTGCTCTGCCAAATTTCCCCTGTACAGAAGGCATTTTCAGCCCTTTGAAGTCTCTGGTTCATTTAGTCCACAAAAGTCTACCAATATGGAAAAAATCCTGCAACTTCAGACATTCTATTCAACTGAATGTCACAGTTAATTGCCTGCTATATATGCTTGGAATTGTGTTAAGTATTGTGGGTCTTACAAGGAAATATAAGACCTACCTAGTCAGATCACTAATAAGATGATGTTCTATTGCTAGCAAATAATTTAATCAATTAAGTACAGAAATGAAAGTACACTGATCTAATAAAAATATTAATTAGCACTAGAAGATAAAAGACTAACACAGTCCCAACACATACTAATGTGGAAAGATAACAACATGACAGGAAGTTATAATGTGAGTATTCTGTTAGATCTCCCCATAATTTAGAAGCTCTTACATAATTTTCAAGTGTCCACATTCCCCAAAGAGGAATAGCTAATTAAAATTAACACAAATACTTTGTGAGCCAAACAGTGTATTCCAACTACACTTCCATTCTTCTACTACATTTTGTTTTTGTTTTACAAGTCTTAGTTTTTGGGGCACAGGGGTAGCTCAGTCAGATGAGCATTCATCTGACTTCAGCTCAAGTCATGATCTTGTGGTCCGTGACTTTGAACCCCACGTCAGGCTTTGTGCTGACAGCTCAGAGCCAGGAGCCTGCTTTTGATTCTGTGTCTCCCTTTCTCTCTGACTCTCCCCTGCTCATGTTCTGAGTCTCTCACTCAAAAATAAACAAACATTTAAAAAATTAAAAATTAAAAAAAGGGTACCTTAGTTTTAAATTATAGGGTCCTTTCCTATTTCTTCTACAGTTCTATAAAATACCTTTCAAGAATATCCTCCATATGGGGGCACCTGGGTGGCTCAGTCGGTTGAGTGTCCAACTTCGGCTCAGGTCATGATCTCACGGTTCATGGGTTTGAGTCCCATGTCGGGCTCTGTGCTGACAGCTAGCTCAGAGCCTGGAGCCTGCTTCTGATTCTGTGTTTCCCTTTCTCTGACCCTCCCCTGCTCACACTGTCTCTCTCTCTCAGAAATAAATAAAACATTAAAAAATATTAAAAAAAAAAAAAAGAATATCCTCCATATGGATGGACCATGGGGGAGGAGAAGGGGAAAAATAGTTGGGGAGAGGGAGGGAGGCAAACCATGAGAGACTCTTGAATGCTGAGAACAAACTGAGGGCTGATGGGGGTGAGGAAGAGGGGAAGGGGGGTGATGGGCATGGAGGAGGGCACTTGGGATTAGCACTGGATGTTATATGGAAACCAACCTGACAATAAACTATTTAAAAAAAAAAAAAAAGAATATTCTCCATACAGTAAAATATTCTTTTTCTTTCAAATTTATATTTAATTTCTAGTTGGTTAAAATACAGTGCAATATTGGTTTATGGAGAAGAATTCAGTGATTCATCATTTATATACAACACTGAGCGCTCATCCCAACAAATATCCTCCTTTTTAAAAATTATTTATTTATTTTTTAATAGTTTATTGTCAAGTTGGTTTCCATATAACACCCAGTGCTCTTCCCCACAAGTGCCCTCCTCCATGCCCATCACCCCCCTTCCCCTCCCGCCCACACCCATCAGCCCTCGGTTTGTTCTCGGCATTCAAGAGTCTCTCATGGTTTGCCTCCCTCCCTCTCCCCAACTATTTTTCCCCTTCTTCTCCCCTATGGTCTCTCTGGTTTCTCTTCAGATCATATAAATCTTTCACCTTTAACAAGTATCCTTCTAAATACCCACCACCCATGTAGCCAATCTCCCACCCACCCTCCTCCATAAACCCA